TACTTCCCATGATTGAATGTTGATGTGTGCAGTACATGGAGTGTAGAAAGAAAGTCACAAAATCTGCAGATTGAGTCTTGCTACTGCCCAGGGCCTCGAGAGACTTATACGCACATATGCTCTAAGATGCCCAGTAAAACCAGTAACCTGAGTTGTATGAAAGGCCTAGATAAAATGCTTAGTTAACAAATGTAAAGGAGATGCTCTTGAATTGGCAGAAGGTGCCACTAAATGCTAAACCTTGAATTCACTATCAGCCTCGGTGGGAAAGAAAATCATAAACAACTGTAAAAGAGAAATCAGATTAAGAATCTCAAAAAAGCATGCTTTTTTCATGAGTAAGCTTTGATCTTAGATCCGAGAGCCTTTTACTTCTACGAGGACGAGAAGATTCATGTAGCTTATGGCAAAGTTTGTCGAATTTCCTTCGGTTTCTTTTCTTGATTGTTTCTTCGTTCTCATGCCACTTTTCCTCCTCTTCAGAACCTCTATCCGTGATCCAATCCTCCTCTGATTCCTCTGGTGGTATAAGAAGGGGATTACCCAAGGGTTGGATCTCATGATCGGAGTTGTAGTGTACATTCCAATGTGGGCTTTCTAGCTCATTGTCTGAATTGGAACAACCAAGGAAGTGGGGAGCCACTGTAGGGGTATCAAGGTGTGTGTGTAGGGGAACAAAAGCTGCGGCTAATGCGGAAAGAGGTGACGTTTGGGCTGGGATGGTCAAGTGGATAGAGGGGGGATTTGAAACAGCAGGTGCTAAGTGAGACGACACTGGTGTAAGCTTCGAAGGTGTTAAAGGCTTAATGGATTCAATTGGGTTGTAGAGGGTATCTAACGGAATCTCCAAGCTGAGAAGGCTCTGAGAAATAGAAGGAGCTTGGGATTGTGAGGGCAGTGATTTCTGAGAGCAGATAATGGCCATATCTGTGAAAGGTTGGGGCAGGGGGATGGAAGATTTAAGAATGTCATAGGCTCTTTTGAAGCAGTGGGTGAATGTGGTGATTCCGTTGCCTTGGTTGCCTTCGGGGATGAAGATCCAGGTCCTGCCATCTCTATGATGCTCACATAGCTTAATGAATTTCCTGGTTCTATGAGAATGGAAACTAAAAGAAAATGATCTACTATGTTCCCTCTTAGCCACTGAATTTATATATATATATATATATGTGTGTGTGTGTGTGTGTGTGTGTGTGTGTATATGTATATATATATATATATATGTATATATATATATGTATATATATATATATACATATATATATATATACATATACATATACATATACATATATATATATATATATATATATATATATATATATATATATATATATATATATATATCAGGGAGATGATATTTTCTAGTGAGGGAGAGAGAAAGCTGTCGGTTTCCGGCAAGCTGGTTAAACTATTCTCCGACCTATTCAAAACGGCTGATGACGAGGGAGCCATCTCTTCCACTAGCAAGGGTAAACCTCTAGTCACCTTTAACACAGAGGACATAAAGAGGATTGGTGACTCCTATCCATTCTCCATTAAATCCAGGTTTGCTAAGGACTTGCAGGTTGCAGACATTGGTAAATCCTTGGAGAGGGGAGGGTTTTCTGGACTCCGTGTCATCTCCATTAGCAGGTTCACTGTAGTTATCATCCTCAAAACACAAACTGACTTCCTTCCTAGGCTGTTATCTAGAAGGACGTGGAGAGCAAATGGTCACCAGATGTATCTCTCTAAATGGGATCCTCTTTTAGAGGATAAGCTTGACAGCCCTTTGGCTCTCGTCTGGGTCACGCTCAAGCACATCCCCTTCTTCCTTACAAACGCCCAATCTCTATTCTCTATTGTGAAAACTCTAGGGAAACCCATTCAAATGGATGAGACCACAGCGAGGGGTGGGTATTTCAATTCTACAAGAGTTCTGGTGGAGATGGAAGCGTCCAAACCCAAACAACCTGCCATTCTGGTACGTACTCCTGCATGGGAACGTGAAATACAACTCACGTATGACCTTCCTTCTTACTGCATGACTTGTGGACGCTGGGGTCACTGCTGCATAAAATCCCAACCCGTCGGAAAAGTCCTCACCGGCGGGGCAATCTTGGTAAGGCAGCAAGCTGATAAGGAGATCAAGCCAAATAACACACATCAGTGGTTCCGTATTCAGAGGAAAGGAAAGGCAACAGCTCATAATGTGATGGCAGACATCCAGCACACTCAGGCTAATGGGCAAACGAACAAAGCCAAGCAATGCTCAGATATTTCGGGCCCTTCCAAGTTGGGGTACACAGAGCAAAACAGGCCCAATTTACATATGCATAATGTTATTGGATCCCCAAAAAGCCCAAGTGTCTCATCCAAACTTGAAGCTGGGCCAACTACTAGCCCACTGGTGCACAGTCTCTCCTCAACAGGCCTATCCAGCCCACCTAAACTACAAACTCCCAAGGCCTCACTTTGCAAACAAGTAGGAGCTAATAATGAACACTCCTCTCCTTTAAACTACCTGGAACTTCTCTCCACCATTGAGGACATTGACACCCCAAGTACCCCTACATGCATTCACTCTGATGAGGAAGGTGAGAGGGCTCAGGATAAGAGTCCTCTTCATGCCCTGGAGAACAATTTTTCTCAGGCTAATATCAATGCAGTCCCTTTCATGAAGGGTAGAGGTCTCAAGACCCCTTTGCCACCTCTTAGCATGTCTTTGAGGAACAGAACTACAACTAAACCCAAATCACTTTAATGTTTTTGCTTTTTTGGAATGCTAGAGGAATAAAGAAGTCTTCCCGTAGCTGCAATGCTTGGCCCATTGTGGATTTCTTCTGTCTATGGCAGGCACACCAGGGCTGAAAGAACTGCATTATGGAATGCCATATCATCTAGGGCCCCTAGCATACATCCATGGATCATTGGAGGAGATTTTAACTGCATCCACAGCCTTGACCAACACAAAGGAAACTGCAATCCTTGCAATAACTCAGTGGAGGATTTTAGAGAATGCATGGAAGCTGGCAATCTCCTTTACATTCATCCTTTAGGAGGACATTTTTCTTGGAGTGGGAAACGAAGCAATGGGAAGCTTTGGCGCAGACTGGACCATGTTTTTAGCAACCAACAGATGCTGGATAGGACTAGCAGTCTACAACTCTCTATGCTTAGTAAGGGAGCATCAGATCATATGCCTTTTCTCTTGGAACTCTCCTTGGATACTTATTCTAGTCCCAAACCCTTCCGGTTCTTGGACTTGTGGGTTTCACACCACACTTTAGAAGGCACCATCAGATCTTTTTGGGAGAGCAATAAAACTTACAATGGAATGAAAGGCCTTGGGAGAAAACTCAAGGATCTCAAGGCCATTTTGTCCAAATGGAGCAAGGAGGAGTTTGGTAACATCTTCAGCAACTTAAGGAGGCAGAATCTAGAGCAAGCAGGGCACAAGATCATTTTGAGGCAAACCCAAACCCGGAATCTTTGGTTGAATTTAACAAGGCCAATGCTGAATTACTCTTATTTTCCAAAAGAGAAACTGACTTTTGGAGGCAGAAGTCTTGCATCAGATGGTTAAAAGAGGGGGATGTAAGCACAAAATTCTTTCATAATGTGGTTAAAAATAGGCGCCAGAAGCTTAGGATCTCCTCCATCAAGAATGATCTTGGCCTGACCATCGAGGGGGAGAGTAACATTGCTTCACACGCAATTGATTACTACACCAAGATCTACTCTGAAGAATCAGTTCCTCGTCCAATCTGGACAGCGCATCCTCCATCCTTGCTTTTCCATTGGGCTTGGTCGCCTTCTTCTTTTGGGACCGCCTTACCTTTTTCTTCTTTCCCCATGAGCCCGCAGGTCCAGCCTTCCCGCCTACGGGCCCCCCGGTCGCGTCTTCCACCACAATCTCACGATTGGGCGTCAGAGCCGCCAACACCTCCTTGAATTGCTCAGCCGTGATCCCGACCCTCTAGATGAGGGCCTCTGCCTCCGTCGTACTGATAGGAGGGTGCCGGCCTCCGGTGGCGCTGTTCTCGCCCTGGTGGGGGGCTCCGGTACCTGCATTTGCATTGCTGCGTGTCTGCACCATTGTCTTCGTGGAAGGTTTTCTCTGAGTATTGATTCTCGAACTCAAAATGAGAGCACCAATTTGAAGGACAATAAATCCACCAAATGATCCGATTCGGAGAATGGATTGTAAGAAATGAATTAAGACCAAGAGCTCGAAGATTAGGTGTGTATTATTAGCTTGATTCAGCTTGCCTTTTCCCCTTTCGGGTCTCCTCTATTTATACCTAGGTTCTAGATAATTAAGGTAATACATAATCAAAGGGATTCTATCCCCTCAGTGGCGCGATCCACTTTTTCCGGCTTCGTCCCCGCCATTCAGCTCCGTCTTCTCCTTTGGACTGGTTCTGCCAGCTGTTTTGGATTGGAGTTGACCGGGCCTCGCATTATGGGCCGGCCCATGCCTAAGTATTTCTTGTGTGCCTGACCCGAAGTTTATTAAATGATTCAATTGGGCCACCCGCTGGATATCGGCCCATCAGTCACAAATTGAGATGAGTCGGGTTAGAATGCTCTGGATTTTTAAGAGTTCCCGTCCTAATCCATTTTTTAGAATATTCGAATCTGGATACTCCGTATATTTTAAATCTATTTTAGAAAAAATAAAAATTGTGATATTTTTTATATCATTGTATAAATAAATATACACATTTATACGGGAAACCAAGACAGAATATGAAAATATTTTTGTGTCTCGGCCCTGCCCCGTTTTAAAACGATTCGGCACATGTTTGGAACGACATTTCTAAAACGGTTGGAGATAATATAGAGACAACACCGAGATATTTTGAGTCAGGACAACGATTTTGGGATTCTTGCCTACCCCTAAATGACATCATTGTTCCCTAAAATTTTATATATTTTCATAGGAAACAAGACTAAATAGGAGTAAAATACTGAAAAATACTAAAATAGAACTTCTATATTTTTATTCTCGAAATAGGTTAAAATGCATTTATATTACAAAACATGATCATGTAGATTACTAAAAACTATAGTAATGTGCACATGTACAGTGTCATATTACAACCACATAACCACAGTATAAAGTTTTTTTTACAATAAAATTATGAAACTCTTATTTTGATAAGTTTTTCTATGTGTTATTCATATTTAAGATGATTTCTATATTTTCATGTTCTCACATTAACGGGACCACTAGTTCGACCTAGGAACACCGATATTAACATTCTCCCTCCAATAGAAAATTATTGTCCTATTTGACTTTGGTACTCTTTTAGACCAATAATTAAGTATTTGTTTTCTTTCAAAAAGATTTACAATTTTACTATTACCATTTCTCAATAATTCTTATTTGTTTACATGTTTTTATTGATTATTAAATAAAATTAAATATTTTATCATCTCTTATTTTGCACTCTGTTTGTTTCAATTTAAGTTCATGTTTACTATCACAAGGTAAACTTTAAACATTTTCTCTTTTCGCTATTCATTTTTTTGCTATTCATTTAATAGAATAATATAACCACATCACTTCTATTTTTGTAGAATTTTTATGTACAAAGTTGTTTTTGAATATAGATAAGTGTTATCTTCTAATTTCACATCAGTCTTCAAAGAAATTGAATTGAAAATAATTTTAGCTAAATCTCGTAAACAGCAACAGACGATTTAAATTTTCGACAAAGGGAGTAAAACTTTAAATGTGTTTTAGCATGTAAAATTGTAAACTACAGAGTATTTTTTTATTTCTATACTAATTTGTAAGAAAATAAATTTTTAAGACACCAAATTTTGCATATCATTCGAATAGTGTGAAGCACGAATGTATATTAGTACTATATCTTAAAATCAACTCAATTAAACTAGATTTATATTATAACTAAATATACGTTTTTTCAAAATTTGTGGTGAAAGTGACCAAAAAATCATACTAAGACTATACATTTGGGATGGAGGGAGTACATCAAGTTTAGAAGCACGAATGTAAACACGTAAAAATCCTTGGAGCAATAATTCCATTTATTGAATAATAATATAATTATGTAAAATCATGCAATTGTAGGAGTAAAGTCCCTCCATCACATAATAATGTTCCACTTTTTTTTTATTCGCACCAAAATAAGGTTTCTTTGTACCACTTTCAACTACATAATTTCATTTTTTTTAATTATATATCCGGTCAGTCATAAAACATTAATGCAGGGCAAAAAGAGTCTTTACTAATTAAAGAAAATGCATGGGAGAGGGCTTATCTCCATGGACCAAACCACAGCAACTCAACTCATGATATACGTCTTGTTTGGCAACAACGTTAAAAATTAGTGTTAGCACTTTGGAAAACCATCTAACAGTAACCTTAAAGACATTTCCAAACAAAATTAGGATATTTTCAACCAAATCACAGTTCCTATGGAGCTCATCGTTTAGTAACGCAGTAAATAGTCATGCAAATTTCACATTTTACTCGATAAAATGTGCTAAAACACACCGCAAATGAACAATCTAATCTAGAATTGATGATGGGATTTAAATAGTGCCAAGCTTGATCTTTCTACAGTTTGCTATACTAAAAGAAATGCAGAATTCATAACAGAAATAATAATAGCTTACAAAATTGTTAAAACTTGATCACACATTCATACCGAACAACTCTACCACATTACAATTAGTGCATCATAAATGGCCCCTAATATTACTCGGTATGAACAATTGAGAAATTGATCTTTCTTTTTGGAAGAAAAGGGGGATGATGATCTTCTCAATTCAAGGTTGATCTAGACACAGGGTAACCAAACAGCCTCATCCTGACAAGAAATTTGATTATGATCAAACTAATCTGTAGCAGCTTTCTTCAAACTTGCCATGTATGTTAGATAAATGGTCCACAAATATGCAAATGAGCTGTTCATCAATGGCTGTCCAACACATATAAATATTACTACGTATGAAGTACTAATTTAAACATTGCTAGCGAATATTATAAGGTTGCCAATATACTCCTTCCGTCCCATAGCTAAACTTCACTAGGACCTCACATAAATTAAGGCAAATTTAAGGGTTTGGCATTCCATTTTTCCCTAGAAATGGCGGTGAACTGATAGTGTAACATAGTGTAATATGTTTAGTGAAGGTGAGAAATAAATGGAGGTACGTAGAAAATGTGATTAGAAAAAGTAGGATTATCATAGTATTTTTAATGAGTAACATAAACCAAAAATAGAAATAGGACTCTCAATTTGGGACGCCAATTATGGAAGTCAGACTTTAGTTTTGGGACAGAGTAAGTAATAAAAAGTACGAAGTAAAAACGTAAAAGCTTCTTCTGTATGTAATGAAATATGACAGACCTGCAAATGGACTGGGATTGCTCTGTATGTCAAGAAATCACACAGTGGCCAGTACATCAGACCATTTATCAATGTCGGCAGCAGGTCACGCTTCAACCTTGAAGCAATCTCTCTTCCATTTTCACCTTGAAAAGTTTCATATATAATGCAAATGAGCAATCAGAGATATACCAATTCTTCCAGAAGTTCCAAATTTACAGAAAATGAATCCTATTTGGTTCTCTAGATAACACATGCATTTGAGAGACTTCAAATTTCTGTATTCTTGATGGAAATGGAAAGTTATGTTATCCTCTTCAGAACAAAGACAAAGACAGCAACCCCAGAAAGACTTCTAATGTTCCATCCTGGGGCACAATTTGCTGGCATTTAATTCCTTTCTATTTTTTTCCAAGTCCTCCAAAATAACAGTTTGCTGGGATTAACGATACGGGTATAATGGAATAGAGCATAATGGCTCTTTAAACTGTTTGTGCTTCTTTTAATAGTGAAGTACAAGTAGTAGTTAGTCAAAGAAACTTTCGACATGCATCATGGGTCATTTGGAAACAATCGCTCTATATTTTAAACATAGGGGTCAGCCTAGTACTTGATTACCTGTAATGCTTGAGCAGCAGGTCTCTTTGGAAACAGCCTCTCTACTTTTGAGTACGGGTAGGGTCTGCGTAGTGCGTACACACTCTCCCTACACACTACTTTTGTGGGATTCAACTGGGTTGTTGTCTATACAGTAACACACTCCCTCAAATGATAACAGACGAGGGAAAACAGGAAAACCAGGCGCACTATCCTGTAGGAGCAACGGCAATGTGATCTCAAGGATGTGAATAAACTTGACAAAACAGAGCCGGAACCAATTATCCGGACTGAATAACCCAAAAGGCCAAAACCAAATCCGAAAAGAGAAGACCCAATCAATAACCAAATCCCCGAAATACCCAAACTGAACCAAAAGTGAACCAAATGTATTCAAACCCGAAATAGATCTGTAACCGATCAGACCGAAACCCGATTAGAACCGAAACCAATTAAACCCAATTACAACTGAAACCAATTAAACCCAAAACCAATCAAACCCGATACTAAATCAAGTCATGACCCATTCTGTTTTCAACAAACATGCTTATAAATTATAATTGTTGTTACCCCTGCACTCATAGTTATTAAAGGCGCTCGCCTCTCTCGCCTATGGCGCCTCAGGCGACCAGGCGAGCTCTCAGCGCCTCAATGAAGCCAGGCGAGGCGAGATCCCTAAGGCGCGCCTAAGGCGGTCGCCTTTCTCGCCTCAATCACTGCCTCAGGTGTTCGCCTAGCTCGCCTATCTCGCCTCAATCACTGCCTTAAGGCTTTAGGGTATACAATGCATAATATTTATTGCTATATATTACTCTATAATATATATATATATATATATATATACACACACATACACACACACACATATATATACATATACACATACATACATACATACATACATACATACATACATACATACATACATACATACAAACATACATACATATCTAGTATCAATATTATGTGTTTATACATACATACATACATATGTGTGTGTGTGTGCGTGTGTATATGTATGTATGCATGCATGCATGCATGCATGTTCGCCATTTGACCGCCCGCCTCTCGCCATAAAAAAGGTCCTCTCGCCCGCCCCTCGCCACTCGCCATTAATAACTATGCCTGCACTCAAGTACAAAAAATTCATTTTATTTTACTTTCACTTGTAGAACAGATTGGGTATATATTTATATGCTCCCTCCGTCCCGTAGTATTTGTCCAGTATTCCTTTTTGGGCACCCCAGAGTGTTTGTCGACTTCACTTTTTTGGCAAACACAAATGGGAGGAAAAATCTATTTTACCCCTAACTTACTCCTAACCTCTGGGCAACCTTTCTCTCTTCTGCAGTTATCTTCTTCATCCTGTATACAGGTGTGGAGGCACTGAGTCCAGGGCCTATTGCGGAGCTTCTCAAAATTAAAATACGACGCTGCGGATGTGGTTGCACACAACAACTATAGCCGACATTTTTCCTCAAAAATCGATCTGGAACTTCTAGAAGTAACATCTTCACCAACAGCCACCTTGGCATTGAGAGATCATAGACCATGTATCTCAGTCCTTTACAACTTCCACCGCCACTGACCTTCAAAGTAATTTAGAGAGATTTGTTTCGATCTAAAGCCAATTTGGTTTTGTTTCTGTTTACAGAATACTCCCTCCGTCCTATATCTTTCTTCCCGTTGCGCAAAACGAAGAAAAATCCCAAGTTTTTTCAATCTATTTTATTTAAATATTGGTATAGAAATAAAAAATAAAACATACATATTTAAAAACTACATCAAAAGTTCAACAAAACAAGTGGTGACAAGAATATTTTATTTTATCATATAAGCCATGAAAAAACACAAATAAATATAAATTCTCGTGAAGTTGGAATAGTGCTCTGGGAAGAAAGTTTTAGGACGGAGAGAGTACCAATTTCCTTAGATTTGGATTTACATAAAAGGGAGNATAGATCATGTATCTCAGTCCTTTACAACTTCCACCGCCACTGACCTTCAAAGTAATTTAGAGAGATTTGTTTCGATCTAAAGCCAATTTGGTTTTGTTTCTGTTTACAGAATACTCCCTCCGTCCTATATCTTTCTTCCCGTTGCGCAAAACGAAGAAAAATCCCAAGTTTTTTCAATCTATTTTATTTAAATATTGGTATAGAAATAAAAAATAAAACATACATATTTAAAAACTACATCAAAAGTTCAACAAAACAAGTGGTGACAAGAATATTTTATTTTATCATATAAGCCATGAAAAAACACAAATAAATATAAATTCTCGTGAAGTTGGAATAGTGCTCTGGGAAGAAAGTTTTAGGACGGAGAGAGTACCAATTTCCTTAGATTTGGATTTACATAAAAGGGAGGGCTAGTGTTTTTGCATGACATTTATCTAAGATGGAAGAAGTTGGACAGGATGATGATCTCAAAGAAAGAAGAAATTGAGAAATCTTGTTCAATCAAAGATGGAAGAAATTAGACAGGATGTTGAAATCAAAGAAAGAAGAAATTGAGAGATCTTGTGCAGTGACGCTGGGTGCAAAGGCTGGATGAAGGGTAAGCTTGTCATTTCTCCTCTTTATTCTCTCCTCCTTGCAATGTGTGCCAGAATGAAAGTAGACAAACACTCCGGAATAGAGTATATCGAACAAACTAGCATATAGCCATATACTATGACCTAAACTTTGCCATTACAAATATTTTCAGATTTCGAAGAGGAATATTGAGAAATCCGAACGCAAATGAAGATTTAACAGGACTTTCAACAAGCTTTCTCATGTCTACACTCAAAACAACCAGATCCCAGTATAAAAATTAAGTGGTTATGCCCTAACAGAAGTGTTTAAAAATTAAAGTTCAAAAAAACTGTTTTTAAATATTTAAATAAACTACTCCCTTCATATCAAATTACAATTTTTATTTTCTTTTCATTTTTTTTAAAAAATGAAATTTTGTGGTTATAATTTATGAAGAATGGAGATATATAGAGATAATGAGAGATAATGTGAACCATGAAATTAATTCTTAAAAAAAGGAACAGGAAGTTTATTTCAGAATGAAGAGAGTAATAAATAATAAAGTATGTTTTACTATTTAAAAATGAGAAATGACAACAATGATTTTGGAAGATAAATTTCTCTTTTTTCACTAATGATTAATGAAATATTTCCGCTTTCTTTAGGTCTAAATAGGAATAAGGTGAGAAGTTGATTAGAAAAGAAAATCATGAAAATTTTTATGGGTAAAAGGACAAAGAAACATACTCAATTAAATTTTGATAATAATACAACGTCAAAGTATCAGAACCAATATCCATCTTATCCGGAACTAATCTATATTGGTACCTCTAGTAGCTATCCAAACAGAAATCTGCCCTGAAACTGATATCTACCTGAACTGGTATGTACCCTAATCATATCTGAACTAAACCAGAACCAAACTAAAACCGAAAAATATAGAGAACTGAATTAAACGGTTAAACCTGGATCCGAATTAAACCAAACCAAACCGGCCCAAACTGGTGATAGCATATATCCAAAATAGACCAAAACAAAGAAAAACCGAACCGGAATGGAACCCATTGACATTGACCCGATTGCCATGTCTAGATGTGAGAAACTAGTCACCATAGTGCCTTATTTTAAAATTAATGACAAATAACATTTTCCTTAGCATATTACACTATATGACTCAACCCCAAAATCGTTGATGTGGTTATCAGCAATGTTAGATTGGAATAGGTCCCAAGCGTTCTTGAGAAAAGGTCAAAACCTTACATCTATGCATCTAGCCATCTACAAGGCCTGCTGCGTAGATGTGATTATACAATGTCAGTCCAGAATGGTGCCAGCACCCTTTGGGACATTAATCCATACTCTCTCATAATGTACACCTATAAAACCATGAAGGTAAATGTGCACAAACTATGGGCCACCGTGTCAAACAAGCATTGTGTGTCTGCAAATAGTTAATTTGGCATGTTGCCAACATGCTTTTTGAAGTTGTACTCGATCATAGGTCCCATTTTGGAAACATGCTTTTTGGACAACCTTTTCTTCAAAAAGTAATTTTTGGCTTTAAGGAGATGTTTGGCATTGGTCAATAATCTAAAACTCCAAACATCTCCATTAGGCCGATATTGGTCAAACTACATACCTTTCGACGCTTTTTTTGGCTAATAACAATAATCAATACTCCATAAAGCCGATATTGGTCAAACTACTCATTTTCCAAAAAAAACTCCTAAACCCTATGAAAGAAAAACAAGAAAGTTTTTTACGGGGTGGAGGGAGTATTAAACTAGCTAATGAAAAGTAGTTACTCAAATTTTAAATTCACATTACACTTTTAAACTAGTTGACTAATAAAATACACAAAAGGTTCAAATAAAATCATCTAAAGTCAAGGGTATATTAGGAATTTTGTGAAAAAGCACATTTACAAACAATTGAACTTACCAATCACGTTTCTCAGAAATAGCTAACCGAACAAACAGTGGCGTGGCTTATCCAGGGGGAGGATGCAATGGAGGCACCAAAATGACATTTTTTGGACCAAAATGATTTTTTGAAAATACGATATACAAGTTCAGTGAGTTTATTGCAGCGTCCCCCCTCGTGGTTTCCTAAATGTTCATCGGTGCCCCCTCTAGTTTTAAAACTTACTCCATTCCCCCTTCATTTAAAAAAACCCTACATCAATGCCCCTTTAGCCGGCACAGTCTTTTTTTTTAACCAAACTAAACTCTGTTAGCCTAGTTGATATTACACAGCCTCCACCCAAATCTGTCTGAACTCTTAATGCGCCGTTTCCTCCACAAAGGTATGCTTTCTCTTAGATTTTCTTTTTTTCTTTCTAAATGATTTCTTTCTAATTTCTTTATTTCGGTGGAATTGTGCTTTAATCCACAAATTGGGTTTAATTTAGGTTCATCGCATCTCCTTTTTTATATAGTAACATTAGGGTTTTTTTTAATGAGGGTGATTTGATTTCAAGATTTATTTGATACGAGTAATTTTTTTCATAGATTATTTTCTTTTTTTGTTGATGTAGATGAATGATATTGTGTGTAATATTGATATGGGGGGTGTTGAGATTCAAGACTTTGGTCTTCTTAATGAAGACAATGATGGTGATGGGAACGAAACAGAGGTTGAAGAAGTTGGTGACAATAATGAAGAGAATACATATGATGTTCATTTTGATCAAGTTCTTGAAGCGGAGGAGGGGCTTGCAGATGTCCCTGAATTTTTCTTTGAAGATGTTGAGGGTTCTGATGAGGAAGATATTCTCGTTGAGGTGCCAACTAAGAAGAGTAATAAGGCTAAATTAGTGGAAATGAAGAGGAGAGAATATCAATTGTTGCATCCACCAAAAAAGAAACATGTCAACCAGAAAAAAGCCACATTGAATGAGTCTTGGTTTTCTGATGAAGAAGATGAGGACTTGGATAACTTGGAAGAACAGAATGCTCCTGAGTACAGACCTGATGCAGAGATGGAAAATCTTATATTATACCCCAAGTTGAAGTTCAAAAGCATTCCTGAGTTCAGGATGGTGATCCGTGACTACT